TTTCTCTGTGAGGACACTCTGTGACATAATGTATTCCCTAACCCCTCTTTACCAAACTTTAACAAAACAACCCTAAAACACTCAAACAGCCCATTGGTTTTGACACAGAGGTGTGTGTGTGTGTGTGTGTGTTCTCAGACTTTGTGCTTATTGAAGTAAGAATTGCACATTCAGCGTTTTATGTGTTCAGTTTGATGTACAGTTTGATCAGAGTCTTTACTCACATGTGATTTTCAGCTTTGAGTGTTTAAATGTGCAAACAATGCAGCCCCCTGCCATGTGTCTGTGTAGCTCTTGTTATCAGAACATCATGTACCACAAGTCAAACTCTGTAGCCTTGTTCCATACGAGAGCTCAGCGGTGTTCAGCGTCAAAGACAAAAAAACCTTACTTTATTTATTTATTTATTTATTTCTCAAATAATAAACAATAATAGTTCCGTGTGTGTTGTCGGTAGATGGTCGGGATGTTAAAGACCAACAGGTTAAAGGTCAAACTGTGTAAATACAGGGTTACATGCCAGATTCATGAGCTCATGTCTCACTATTGTGGGTGGGCAATGTAACCTCAGGAGTCAAGCTAAGACAGTGACATAATATTAGGCTGGTAAACATCAGGGAAACATAATATAACAGCAATCATAATCATCTATCTTCTAACTCTTTGCACAGGCCCTTTAAGAAGGATCTGAAGTCATTTTCAAGCATGATGTTGTCCACCAACCCCAGGTTTATCTGTAGGGAAGACAGACTCTAACATGTTTTGACATGTTGAGTGAAGTGAGCTTTGTATTAGATAGATAGATATATAGATATTAAACCTTCATTTATAGTCAGTGATGTATCTGGGAATAGCATCCCCCCTAAGTGACTGTGTGTTTAGTGAATGAGTTTCTAACCTAAAGAGCTGACATATTTCAGAGACATCTGGCTTGGTGAATACCAGTAAATGAATCACCGCCATGAACCACATAAGAACCAATCTGTTTGTACCAGTGGTTCTTGAATGAGGCCCAGTGTCTCAGTTTTGCATATCTATCTCTACTGGTACTGAAGGCTATGAAGCTACATAACCTGTTTTCACTGAAGGTGTTTGTTAAGGGAAACATGATGAAAATGTGTGTAGCTCCTTTGTAACTGTACTGTTAGTGTTCACTGTGTATTGTATTTAGGCGTTGCTGCAGCGCTGGCGGCTTTGCAGCCATTTTGCCACCACTGTCTCCTACCAATCACAGAAATGTTGCACAAGCTTGTTTTTTGAACAACTTTTCCTGTGAGGCTGAGAGTGTCAGGACAGTGCTCAGTGTGGAGCTGAAGCCTCTAGTTTATAGATGCACTACTCCCTGCCCTGAGGGAACACTGAGCCTACTTTCATCAGAGCCAGGCATGCACACACACACACACACACACACACACACACACACACACACACACACACACACACACACACACACACACACACACACACACACAGCCAATTGCCAGGTTTGTTTTTCTTTCTCTCACCCTCACAAAAGACAGACTGGATTTTCTGTTTGGCTGGTGATGCTCACTGACTGACTGTGTGTATGTGTGTGTGTGTGTGTGTGTGTGTTGTTGGGGGGGTCACTAGAGTAGGAGGAGGACCTGCAGCTGATCGGATATTTATAACTGTCCCCAGATGTTCTAAATAAGTTTTTGATCGCACTTTAAATGCAAGTGCACTTAAAGTGCGACCTAGAGTTATGAATGAACTAAACAGTTTACATCACAGTGTAAACCAGGAGTCAACTGGTCTACAACCAGTGTAGAAACTGGCTGAACTCATTTTGCCAAAGTGAGGAGCTGTGTCAGAGGAGTTACTGTATTTAAGGTATTATTTATGAAGCCTGTGTTATCAGAGCTGTTGTGCCCATAGACATATATACATAGACGCTGCATTTGTCGCTTCAGCCCGTTGCTGAGATACGTCATCTTCGCCTCCATATTGTTCCAGGCAAGGCTGCCTCAGGACATGAACATGTTGACAACATGTTGATATAAAGTGAAACTCATCAGTTGGAACTCTGTGTACAGATCTGATGTCTTTATCAGTATCTGATGTCTCTGAGCTGCTCAGATCAGTCAGAGCTGTTTCCTGCTGCGGCACCGCTTACATACTGATTCATGGTCATCTACAACTTGTCCCTGATGGTCTGCATCAAATACTAAATGTCTCCATACACCAGTCATGGTGTGTTTAATCCACAAGTCCCTGCCGACCTGTTGCTGCACCTGTACCTGCTGCTGTCGCTCTACATGTTATTGTTTACTGTGCCTGTCTTCCTCTTCTCTCTGGGTTTGATGTCAGACTGGAAGACTTGTAGTGTTTAATAATGCCCTTGTTAGTCCCGGAAGAACCACATCTCCAGCACCTATGACATCAACAGTACCTTTGGTAACTATGGTACTGTAGAAGAAGAAGCACTGGCAGAATTTTCAGGATTTTGGCATCGACTTGATAATGTGACTTGATAAGTCTCAGTTTTCATGACATCCCTTATCCACCATATTACCAATTAAGCCACCTTGAATGAAGTGAAGAAAACAGACTCATGTCAGAGTTTCAACGATCAAATCAAAGACTAATTCAGTTATAACATTCAGTTAATGTGAACCTCAGCATGACCATGTCACAGTCACAGTCATGGTCTCCTCTCTTACTGACTGTTGCTGTGTTTATGACAGGATTCAGCTACTGAAACCCTTTTCAAGGGAGGGTTAGTTAATTTCAAAACTATTCAATGACTTGTTAGAGTAAGCTGATTGATTGTGGCACAGGCTCAAACCATGGCCCAGCCCCCTCCCCAACTCAGTTACATCACACACTGGGTCAACATTCCAGTCTTTTCATAGACAACTACCCTAGGACTCATCCATTCAAACATGTGGCATGTTAAACAATAAATGGCACTGAGGGAAAGACATTACAAACACACCCTCAGGTTTAGTGTCATGATCCGAACACAGCTGTAACTCTGTGTGGACATGTGCAATGTAACGGTGTTAGTGTCACTGTGTGGGTGACAGTGTCTATATCATTAGATTCTTATGCTCATTAAAATGATCAAAGTAAGTTCAGTTTGACAAAAACCAGGCTTTTATTTAGTTGTGCTGTTCATGTCCAAAGTGAATGATATAGAACAGACAGAAGTTTTCTATAAAAGTTGCCTCTTTGTTGCTCAAAGTGAAAAACATGTTCTGCTGTTGAATCAGACCTGGGTTTTTGCTGCTGTAAGTTTCAGTTTGGTTGTTAAGGTCACAGTTAGACGTGTTTTGAATTGACCAGAGGTAAGTGCTTTGACATGTTAGCCGTGTTAGCTCCAGGTGCTCGTTCACTGTCACTGAATCATAATCAATCCAAACAGGACTTGCCTGTATGCCAGGAACAACAATAATAAATAGAAATAGTAAGAAGAAACTAAAGTTGTCTTCTAATCCTAACTGAAGCTAAGTGTATAAGGTAACTTTCACAATTTATTAGTCTTAGAGGAGATCACTGAGGATTACCTGGGCTTCGTTGTGGCAGGTGGATTGGATCAGATTACCACCTCCTTCGGTTCTGGTTTATCCTACAGAGAAACTATGAACTGAACACACCACTGTTTGGTTTAGGCGCATGTGCAGGGAGTATGAGAGTTATGACTTTATCTGGTTAGAGCATTTTTGAGGATATCAATGTGACATTGATCATTTATTAGTTTCTCACTGAAATACATTTCGCAAACAAGCATTTTATCTCACTACTACTAAAGGCAAGGTACACATCAACATAACATGCTTCAATGACATAATTTACATTAATGAAATGACAGAGAGCAAAACTATAAGTAAATCATTTACTGATGCTTTATAGATAAGTTATAAGACAAATAAAAACTGTTGTGTTATTAATTTTTAGAAAACGACTGCAGATTTACAACTTGCAGGTATGACGATTACAACCCTTTATTAATGACTTAACATGAAATAGTGCAGAGTCTGTTCAAAATGATGGGCACAGTTTATCTGACATCATTATTTATAGCGTTCAAACAGGGAGCAGACGGTGCTGCTGTTCTGTGGCCAGACATCGTTTTCATTTTATCCTCATGCTCAAAACTTACACTTGCTTTCAGAAGTAGCTAAAAGTGTCTTTTTTTTCATCATCAGCACCAATACAAACAGTATGCAAGATCTAAATTGAAAGAACTTAGGAACTTCCCCAGAACTCCATAAGTTCTTTCACTTTATATGGATAGATAGATACATGTAGGTAGGTAGATACTTTATTTATCCCTTAGGGTAGGGGTTTTCAAAGTGTGGAAAAGTGAGCCCCCCCCCCCCATACATTTTAAGGCCTTTTTGTGCAAGTCAAACAGCTATTGAACACAACACAGTGAGTCGGACTCTAAACAGTATCTTCACACCGTCACAGCGCTGCTTTTCATATCACTGTCTCAACACTGTGCGTTAATCCTTGCCTTATATGCTCTCTGCAAAAAACTGATTTTGCCTGCGTATTATGTGGCTGAGGGGGAAGGGAGGGCTGAGGGAATCAGTGCTGCTGAAAGCTCTGTAAAGAAGTAACAGCACAAATCACAACATTAAACATATTTTATATTAGGCCTATATGAGGAGAAGTCTTCAGTTTCATGTAACTGTGGACAAATTTAGGTGATTTAGCAGGTAATAAGAAAGAACACTTCTCTGTGGAGCCTTGTGCGTCATGGAGTCTCTCAAAGTTGTGCAGCACACAACATGCCTCAAAGAAGCTGCGTCCTTCTGAGGCTGTATTCTGATGTTCCATCTGTTAGACAGAGCCCTGCGTCTTTGACTTGTGTTATTGATGCAGGGATGCGCTGTAGAAAGGCATAAATGTATCCATTCATCTTTGCCTTCTTGAGAGCTCCAGGTGTCTTGGTGTGGTGACGGATGGCAGTAATGGCTGAACGGGGGGGGGGTCGCTGCTCCTCACTGCTGTCTGTTGTGTGTTGTACAGAGATGAAGTTCCCTGTGGATCTCCTGGCTGATGTCGGTCAGGCAGAGCTGGAACGGTCAGCCCACAACTACATGAACAACCTCCTCTACAGAAGCCCTGATTCTCCTGAGCACCTCGCCTTCTCTGACTCCACCCAGGTAAAACACAACGCAGGCTGGACATCTGTCGTGGCAGGGCTGTCCTAGCCCTGTCTTTCCCTCATTTAGCAACCTTAAAGTTATAATCTGTAACTTTTCAAAAATAAAACATCTAAAAACAACTGGACCTTTGCTCTATATGTTGTTGAGTTGTGTTCTTACATTTCCACAAATGCTTCCATCAATTCTCAAATATCTATCTTACGTTTTAGTTGTGGATATACTTCCATGTATACTTAACAGTCAACGTGCTGTTACTCCTTACACTACAGAGTTGTTCCGATTCCGAAAAGCTCAACAATCTGTCTGGAAAAATGACTTGTGTCGTGTAGAAAATAGACGATGACCTTACTGACTTTACACAGCTATAGTTTGATAACATGAAATCTGTGGTTAAAAATGAGTTTCAGTGACTTCAACATTAGTGTGTATAAACTTTAACTGTATAGTAGGTGAGTAGTTGCTTATCAAGACCAAGCAGAAACAACATCTACAGTGGATTCAGAAAGTTTTCAGACTCCTTCACTGTTATCACATTTTGTTATGTAGCAGCCTGCTGTGAAAATGATATGAATTCACATTTTCCCTCATCAGTCTACACTCGACAGCCCATAATGACAAAGTGAACACAGAGATGGTGGATAATGTCTGTGATTCATCAGCAAGTGTGTTTACATTACAATACATTAAAACACTCCCCCATACACTCTCTGAGTGTAAGAAAAGAAACAGGCTAAGATTAGAATGAAGTAATACTTAATAAATTATAGAATTATAAATATGGCCCTTGGATTCTGTACTATAATCAAAACCAGTGCTATCAGTGTATCTTTGTGTGAGTCCTGTAACCTAAACCCCTTGTGTTAGAATAAAATCTCAAAGTTGGGTTACTGGATGCATTTAACATCAGCCGACACCTCAGAACAGGATGTTTAAATCTTATACTGATAAAGCTCTGCTAGTTTCCAACCACCGACTGCACTGTTTCAGCAGAAACAAGATATATCAGTTAAATCCTTCACATGGTTGAAGACTGATGTTTGTCCTCAGGTCACCATAGACATTTCTAGCGTGGGCTTCATCCCTCTGTATGGATCCAGTGATAGACAGAAGATCCTGGCCCTCTTCTCTCCCAGGGATCCACTCACTGCAGTGGCCCTGTACCTGCTCGACCAGTGGTGGACAGTGGACGATATTCTCAAGACGACAGATGCCGCTCGAGATGGAGCCATGGAGGTATGAGGAGATTTTTATCAGCTAGAAATCCACTGTCGCTGTGTTCATTCATTCTAATCAGAGAGACCAGCTGCTGTCAGTGTTGGGCTGTTTGCCCTCAGAGTCCAGGTGCAGTCCAGAAAGACTTCCTGAAGACCTCCTGAAAATGGAGTTCACTAGACTCAGTAAAGTCTGGAGCAGCACCGTGATGTCTCATCAAATGTAAAAGGCATTCATGAGGCCTAAAAGGCTCTCACTGACTTTTTTTTTTTTTGAATCAGTATGTGATATGTATGCACTGTATGAATGTACGTGTGAATGGGTGAATGTGCCTATTAGTATAAAGCAAGTGGTCGTGAAGACTAGAAAAGCTCTATATAAATGCAGTGCATTTACTGTTTCTTATTGTGACACACTAAGAGACGGAGCACAACATCCACAGCCTCACTCTGCAGTCTTTTCAGAGAAAAAGAAGATCTCAGAACATCTCTGTGTTTCCTCAGGTTCTTCATTAAGCTGCAACCAAGGTGAATTTAGTGGTAGTTATGTGTCGGTTAATGCTGCTGATGACAGGGTGTACTTCTGGGAGTCCCTGTTTCTGTGCTTCAAAATGGCTTCTTGTTTTAGACTGATTAAGCAGAAACTGAGAACTTTTTATGTGAGGAATAACGTGTTTTCCTATGTGTGTCCCTCAGGTGGAGACAGTAGGAGAGAGAATAGTTTTATACATCCTTAATCGTGTCATCTATAGAGCTAAGGAGATGAGCTCTGACGAGCTTCCCTTCCTCTGCCATGGAGAAAAAGATTATGCAAAAATCCTCTGGAGTAATGGAGAGGCTGTTGGCTTCTATTCAGTAAAACCCTCAGGTAATTTATATGAAGTTAAATACATTTATCTCCATAGATGATACAGTGGGGTCCAAAAGTCTGAGAAAGTGGTATCAGACTTTTGGACCCTACTGTTCCTCAAATGTTGTTTTGTTGTTTGGTCTGTAGTTGGCTTCCTGTTGGTGTCTATAGTGAAGAACAACCAGATTTCCCTAAGGGGTTTAGTGTGAGTGCTGATGATGATCCTTCTGCTGAATCTGCTTACTGCACAGTTGTTTCAAGACTGTTTGAGACTGTTCATCCCAACAAGTATTAAATACATTTGTATCCACACAAGACCTGGTTTAATCCTTGTGCGGTAAAGTGTGTCTTTCTGCCGGTGTCCTCAGGATTAAACCCTTTTCTCTCTCTTGCAGGTAGTTTATTTAACTCTTATTCAACCAGGAGCTACCAGCTCCCTGTGATGGACTCCATGTATGTTAGAAAGTGTCAGCGTGGTAAAGGCTTTGGCCTTCAGATGCTGGAGGACTTCGTGCTCAGTTTCAAAGAGGATTGTCTGGGGCTGAGGTACCCCATCACAAAATCCATGTATAAAGGTACACAAGTCAGGTCACCCTTCCGCTTGCATTACCTTACTGATATGTAGAAGCATGAATCTACTTTATTTCTTTTTATGAACTGCTCTTTGTCCCTAGTGTGTGAGAAGTACCTGTGTCAGTACCCAGGAGACACAGACCTGCTGTGGGAGGTGGAGAGCGTAGGCGCACTCAACCAGAGGACCAATATCGCCAGCAGGATCCAGACCATGGCCCTGAGTGGTAAGCAAGAAGAAAAACTGCACTATAGAGCTGGACCAATAACTCGGTCAGGACGTTATGATTTGACACCGTATAGGTTATTTTTTTTATTTTCAGCCGTCGTAAAATTCTCAAATGTTCAAATGAAAACTGTAAAATGATTTGACACATTTTCCGTTAGTGCACTTATTCAGTTGCTGCATGTCATGTTCTGTTTCTCAGCTGTATCCAAGAGCCTCTCACTCACAGAGGAATCACTTGTGATTACTGAAGTCACTGAGAAGCGTTTGGAGAGGGAGGCACTTAGCAGACAGATAAAAGAAGCTGAATCTATGGAATGCACAGTTGAAATTGTGGTACTTTCATTTTCTTCCAATTTGAGAAACATTTGTTTGAGAAACAAATTATTTTTACAAGTGAAAGTAATCTGTGTGATCGTGATTCGCAGGAGGAGGTGACAGTACTGAGAGTTACCAGAGGTGAGCGTTTCATCATTTTACATCTACATTGTAAACTTTCCCTTGGATTCCCCAGTGAGTGTATTAGAGTATGTATTTCATTTAATGTAATCATGGACAGTTTCAGAGGCTGAGGACGTGCCTGTTGCAGTCGGCGGCAGGAGTAGTGGCTCAAAACAAAGGAACATCACAGAAAAGACCCCAGAGGACAAATCAGAAAAAGTCATCAGGTCTGTTATGAATTAAAGCATATGGCTACCAAAAACATCACAAATGCATTTACATTCGGGAATTAAGAATTTCCATTTTAGGTGCTTTTGAGTTTAATCCAAAGTCAAATGTCAGTAGTCTTGTGTTAGGGCCATTTTTACCATTTAAATTACCCATCCTTGAAGAGTCTGCTTTTGTTACACAGCGTAAGTGAAGAAAAATGGTTTGGGACACTGTAAATAAAATACTATGTTGTAGAGTAGATGCATACATTGAAATTTCAATTCACAACACCTGAATCAGTAAGAAAAACAATTAGAAATATAGCTGCAATTATCAGGGTCCAAGCAGCTCGTGAGCATTTCAATAGAGTAGAGTAATTATAATAGAATTTAACTGCTGTTGAATGTTTGCTTAATCATGACTGAAACTGTTTAACCTGGAAATGTTGTGCATACAGTAAATATTATAGCAAGATTATGAATATCATTCAGGACTCACTGTTTGTTCTATTTAAACACTGTCTGATATCTACCATCTAGAGAATGTCTGTCTTATTAGTTTTGGTAACATTTGAATGAAGACTTGTGGAGATATCTGTTCATTGATTTTACATATTTGAAAAAAATATAGAGTGATGGACTTTTGAATCGACCATAAGTTACAGTGAAGCAAACTTTCATCATCATTCGCTGGATGTGCTGAAAACATCTCAGCTGTGAAGGACGTTTCTGTAATTAGTCACGCCCACTTTAATCAATCATTACCAAATTTTATTCATAGACCGAGTAATGACCATAGATCATATGAACTGAATTTTGTATGAATCCATTCAGCTGAATCTGAGATATAAACTTTTAGCATTTGTAGCACGTCTAGAGGCAGAATACTCCAAGACTCTCTCACACTGGTCACAATAGCATCAGCCAATTTTGATTTATGAGCATTTGTGTAAAATTGATCTTAACAACACAGGTTTAAAAGTTTACATTTTAAAAATACATTGACTAAATGAAATTCTTTTAATAACTTTTCATCAGCATTAAGTTTGACTGTAGCCCAAGCCGTTTTCCAGAAAATTGCACTATTGCACTGTTATAGCGCCACAATTAGTTTTATGTTACTAGTTTTTGTGCCTCAGTGGGTGGAATTTGAAACCAATCTATTAAATTTCATGAGTTTTTTCTCTTGTAGTTTTTCCTGCACGAACACTTTCAACAGGGAAAAATAAAAAGAGAGAATGAAAGGAACACATTAGTTCCTGATACCAAGCGACTTTCTAATCTGTCATGACTGTGGAAAGGCATCGTGCCAGTATCTCATTTTGAGTGGTTTATTTTTGTCATCTTCTCATAGACGATCTGTTATGTGTGGTCGTCACACCGTAAAATAAATTATACAATGCTTGAAATTAACAAGTGATATCTAACATGTTTTAGAATCGAGGATATTGAAGCAGAAACTCCCAGAGAGCAACAGGGGAAGAAGGCACATGATGTCCCTGAGCTGGAGCAGACTGAGGTGAGCTAGTTGTTATCGGCATGCTCGTCTCCATACCCAATGCGGCAACTTGTTCATGATGCAGTTTGTATGTTTATTTTTAGGGGATGTTCAGTGTGGCCGCTGAAGAACAAGGTGAGGATGTAGTTGATACTGTACCTGAAGATGAAGACAAACCAGCCACTGTCCTAGACCTAGAAGAAGCTGATGTTATAGCTACACCTGTGACTGAGAAGCCACAAGCAGACGATGCCACACAGGATCTGAAAAATGACTCACAAATTACAGTTGAGAATATGGCATCAGAAATTGAGGAAGAGTGTCAGGACGAAGACGTGGAAGTACTGGTATCCTCCGAAGAACTTTTAGAGGAACACGCGGAAGCAGAAACTCTGGAGAAAGTGGGGAAAGAGGGAACTGAAATGACGGTTTCTGATGAAAAGTCAGAAGGAAGAATTGCACAACATGAGTTAAGTCTGTCAACACATACAACGTCAGGGGACATCGAAGCTGAAAAAACTGTTGTAAAGGTTACAAAAGGTGTACAGAATGAAACCCACAGACAGAGATCTCAACAGCACAGCAAGCTGCTGGAGGCAGTGACGGAGGAAACTACAGCCCAGGAAGGAGGGAAAATTTTGAGGCGAAGAACTGTTTCGAGCGCTCCCACACCCAAACGCAAGTATACCAGACACAGCCAGAAAATATGTAAAGAATTAGAGAAAGAGATTGATGATGTGGCAGGGAAGAATGAAGGTTCTACAACTGAAGTAGTGGAGGAGTTAGCTGTAGCTGAGAGAAAAGAACAAGAAGAAGTGACCTCCATAGAAGAGGATATAGTTGCCGTGGGAGACTTATCAGAGGATAAAAATCAACATCAGGAAGACGAACGACTGAGAGATGAAGAGGAGACTAAGAATCCAGAGGAGCCGGGGCTGGAAGACAGTTCTGCCGAGTGTCCCAATACAGCAGAGACTGCACTTCAAAAGGAAAATGAGGATGAAAAAGTAACAGAACAAAAGGATGCGGAGGTAGAAGCATCACTGATACAGGATAAACAAGAGGTCTCTGATGAGGAAATAGAGGAGCCCCCTGTTGTACAGAGGAGAGCTGTGAGAGGCAGACCCAGAAAACAAAGAAAAACCCATCAGAATCAAGAAGAAGAGCACACACATGAAGCTGGCCTGAGTGCAGGAGGTTCTGCTGAAGAGAGGGATGGACAACAGATGGAGGAGCGCCACAGGGTAGAAAAAGAGAAGACTGTTGACAAAACAGAAGAGATATTTTGTGACTCTGTAATGATAGAAGCTACAATTCCAAAGGCAGAGGAAGCAGCAGAGGATGTTTTAGCTTTAACTGAGATGAACATGGAGGAGAGCAAGGAGGTGCAGGAAGAAGAAAAGACAGAGGAAGAGACAGACATTGTTTCAGCGATGGAAGCAGATAAGGAGGAAGAGGCAGACGGCGTCTCTGGTTCAGGAACAGTAATACCCGATGATGTTCAAGAGGAGGCCAGCGTGCTAGGAGCTGAGGAGCCTCAGGACAGGGAGGCTGGCTCTGAAATCCCCAAGCTCCAGAAAGCCAGTGTCATCTTAGTGGACCTAAAATCAACTTGGCATCACCTTAGTGTGACGGAGGCAGAAGAAAAAACATTTGATGGAGAGTGTGCTGCTCCAGAAATGGAACAGACGGAGCTGATTGCAGCAAAGGAACAAACACCAGACCCAGAAATGCTAATGTTGGAAGAGGAGGATGGAGGGAACCAGGGAAACATTACAGAAGAATCTGTAGATGTCACTGCAGAGGTAGAGACTGTTAGGAAAGAAGAGCTTGAGGAAAATATTGAGGAAGCACCGGTTATTGAAACAAGAGTACTCCGAAGTGGAAGAAAGACCACTGAAGCAAGCTGCAAGTCCAGAGGGCGAAGCAACCAACAGCAGAAGGAAGACAACATAGGTGAAGATACTATTGAAAAGGAGGTGGATGAAACAAACACAGGCAACTTTGAGGTTGAAGGAGAGATGGACGCTGTGGCAAAGGATGCAGTAACGGTAACAGTTCCAGTGGAGGAGATATGTGCAGATACGGACGCAGACGTTCAGGATACAGGGGTAGAGGAAGAAAAAGTAGTCAAGGAAGCAGCTGTGGAAAAAACAAATGAAGAGAGAGGGGAACAAACTGAGGAGGTAGCAGCAAAGGTTACTGAGGAAGCTGCTTCTGAAAGAGAGGGGAGTTTCGAGTCAGAAATGGATGTACAGGAAGGGAAGGCTGTGGAAGAGGAAGGAGAAAATGTAGGGGAGAACCAATCAGAAGTCACATCCAAGACATTGGCAGAAGGAGAAGCCCCAGAAGAGGGTAGAATCGTGGTGGAGAAGGAGGAACATGTTACTGTAGAAGTGGAAGAAGGAGTGTCAGAAAAAGGAACACTGTCAATGACTGAAGAGGAGGAAAACACCGTTGGAGTTCCAGCTGCTGCAGATGATTTAGTACAAGGAGAGACTGACCCTCCATTAGCCAAACCTGACACTGACTCAGCTCTGCTTACACCTAGTGAAGAGGAGGCAATACCTTCAACTGGGGATCAACAGAGTAAAGAAAAGACATCCCTGCTTTCTGATCTCCAAAGAGTGACTGTGGTATTAGTGGACCTGAAAAAAGTCCATCATGAAGTCCAGGAAGAAAGGGCAGCTGTTGAGGAGGGTGTTCTGCTAGAAAAGGCTGATGCCGAGGCAGAAGAGGAGCAAAGGGGAGGAACAATGAAAGAGGAAGAAACGGTGGCAGAGGAGCATGTTCCTGGTTCCCCCCTGGAGCTGGAGAAGGTGGTAATGGATGAAGAAGGGTTGGAGGAGAACGTGGAAGATGTAGTCACAATACAGGAAGACACAAGTGTGGGGAGTGTTGAAGAGACAGAAGCTAAAAATGTTGATGAGGAGGAGGAGGAGGAACTTAAAGTCACTGAGATGAGAAAACGGAGAAGTAGAAAACAAGCAGCCAAAGTCACACCAAAACACAGATCAGGAAGAAGCAGGCAGAGACAGGGCGAAGAGGAAGAGGAAGTGGCTTCAGAAATTGGAGAAGAGGAACCAGTAATTCAAGTCAGAGTTCTGAGAGGGGGAAGGAAGTCTATCCCTGTCGCTCAGAGATTTACAACAACAAGAACCCAAAAGCAACTCCAGGGAGAAGAGAAAGAGGAAGGAGAGGGAATAAAGGGATCTACAGGAGTTCAGGAAGGAGAGGCAGAAGAAGAAGAGGAATATATTGAGAAACAGCACACAACTCAACAGGTAGAAAATATAGGACCAGAAATGGGTGTAGAGAAAGCAGATACCATGGCAGAGGAAGCTGTCACACAACAAGATGCTCCAGAAGAGGGACAGGCGGAGAACACGGAGGCAGTAGCACAAATCGCAGAAACTGCAGCTGGAGAAAATGCACAAAAGACACTGTTGGTGGCAAAGGATGACGAGGCAAAAGGTGTTTCTGAGGAGGAGGAAGCTTCAGTTTCTAAAACGAGAATCCTTAGAGGTGGGGAAAAGGCGGTGAGAGCTACACCACGAGGTAAAGCCACTAAAAGACAAGATGATGAGCAAGAGGTGGAGGCAGCCAGAGGGAAAAGCACAGAAGAAGGTGAATCAGCAGTAGAGACGAGAGTTTTGAGAAAGGGAAGGAGGTCTGCTCCTGCCACACCGAGATATAGATCCAAAAGAGCCCGTACACAGTGTCAGCCAGAGGAAGAGGCAGAAGAAGTAACTACTCCAGCCGAGGAGACTGAAGGAGAGGACTCTAAAGCTGATGAGAGTGAAAACAACAGTGATGAGAAAATAGAAGAAATGGACGATGAGGGAGTTGTAGCTCAGAAAGAAGAAGATACAGAGCCAGAAGTTCCAGAGGAATCATTCGCCAAGCAGGAGGAACAGTCTGCTGACGGACAGGGAGAGGCTTCTGCTGGGGCAAGTCACGAAGAGACACCCACTACAAATAAGGGAAATATTACTGATGAGGAGGAAGCACCAGCTGTGGAACCAACAGGTCTTAGAAGTGGTGGCAAGAGTGCAGTAAGAGTACAGGTACAGAGCACGGATGAACCAGCAGAAACAAGAGTTCTGAGGAAGGGGAGGAGGTCCGCTCCTGCCACACCTAGACATAGATCCAAAAGAGCCCGCACACAGTGTCAGCCAGAGGAAGTAACTTCTCCGGCAGAGGAGGCTGAAGGAGAGGAAGAAGAGGCAGGGGAGAAATCACCTGAGGAGAGAGGAGAGAAGGCTGAGGAAGAAGGGAAGTGTATAGAAACGGAGGTGGAGAAAAAGAAAGGTTTGGAAGAGGAAGACATTGAGAGTGCAGCTGGTGGAGGATCTGTTGTGGGAGATGCAGAAAAGATAGACACCTTGACAGAGGAAACAGCAGTGCTCAAAAAGGAGGATAGCAAAGTGACAGCTGTGGATGAGACCAGTACCGACACAGTCCACTTTTCATCAGCTGAAGTAGAAGGGGCAAATTCTGCAGTCATAGAAAAATCTACTGCTGCTACAGAAGTGGGATCTGACACTACCACTGCAGAAGAAGAGGCACTAGTTGAAGGTCCAGTTGTAACAAGAGCACTTAGGAGCAAAACAAAAGCTTCAAATGCCACACCATCACGAGGATCGAGGAGACAGAAAGACCAAGGAGGAGTGGAGTCTCAGCAGCAGGGAGAGGAAACACTGGAAGAAGTGGATCCATTGACTGATGATGCAGCTGAAAACAGAGAGCTAAACGTTAAGGAACAAGCAGACATGAAAGAAACATCATCTACAGGAGAGGAGGCAAAGCCTCCAGCTGAAGATACTGCAGAGAACAAGGCTAAGGAAAAAGCTGAATTGATATACAGCAGAGTGCTAGAACCAGCTGCTGAAGACCCAGCAGCAGAAGATATGGAATCAGAAGAGGACTCTTCCTCAGATGAAAGTAAAGAAGGTCAAACTGTGGACTCCGTAGTAGAAGTCAGAAATCTCAGGAGAATGAAAACTGCAAACAAAGAAGAGGACAAAGCAGAAGAAATCCAACTTCCAAAGCGAAGGTCCATACGAATACGACCAATAGTGGATTACAGGGAAAACGATGAGGAGGATGAGGGGGGTGAGGCTGAGGCAGCCACTGACAGGGAGGTAGAGCTTGAAGTGGAATCAGATGAGGATGATGACAACAAGAAAGCTGAATGTTCTGCTCATGAACAGATAGAGAAGCTCGAGGAAGATGATAAAAATGAAAACTTAGGGAAAGACACAGGGGCTATTGAGTGCACTAGTGAAAAGGGGGATATCCTCAATTTAGAATTAGATACAGATGAAGAGGCAGAGACAGCAGCTTTAAACCAGGAGAATGAGGATGATGAGCAGGATATTTCAGAGGAAGAGGTGGAGCCTATAGTGATTAGCAAGAGAGTTTTAAGAGGGAGGTCAGTTCCCTCTGTAATTATAACACCCCAGTCTAAACCCAGACGACGCAGTGTTAAAGTTCAAAAAGCAGAGGAGTCTGATAAAGAAAAGAGCCATGAATCCGCTCAGGAGAGACGTCCTCGCAAGAGAAAATGTACTGAAGTAACACCAACTCGCAAATCTAAGCGTCACAGCAGAGTTTAGGGTGTTCTGAATACTATGGTTGACATTGACACCAAAATACATGAAGAAGAGTACAGTCATAAAACTGGCAAAAAAACCCCCCAAAAAACAAACATATGTAATGTTTTAATGCAGGCAGGCTCACAATGTACACTCAAGAGTTTCACTTGGTTTGGGATGAACAGTAGCAAAAATGTTAGATACTGTACATAATGCTGTGTAATTGGCATTACTGATTCAGCTCATGGATTCGATGACCTTTCTCTACTTATGCTACTGTTGCACTACGTTTTAGTGTTAAACATAGGCTGTCATAGACCTGTCCAGGTGTACCCATACCTCTTGTCCTATGTAAGCTGAGATAGGCTCCAACCCCCGATGACCTTGCAAAGGATAAGTGGCTATAGATAATGATGAATGGCATTATTTTGTAATTGTTACTTGTGACTTAATTATGTCCAGAGTGGCTGCTCTGCCAAAGTTACAGATTCTTGCTTTAAAGCCAGTATGACTACAATTTAAAAAATTTGCCTCTGAGCGTGGAACAAGGACCTGACCCAGGGACAGACCAAAACCTACGCCATCGTGATCATCAAGGACTCTATGATCAAATACAAATTGTATACAATCGGTGTGCTTCCAAGCATTCTCAAATTATTCATAAAAAAACGTGAGTGGAAACACTGGAAATTCCAAATATAAATTGGAAGGAAGTTCTTATGCTTGGTTGAGGTGGAAAAATTGGTTTATGAATGTAAGCACAAAGTGACAGTGTGCAAAGGAAAGGAAGCAGATCATGACATACATGAGGAATGTATGTATGTTGAACTTCCACTGAAGAGACAAAAAAAAAAAAGTAACAGACCAAAACAGAGCGGTGCGGGATGATGAGATTGTAATGTTCCTCAAATGAACACAAAGCAAACAGAAACGCTATATTTCCATCATGTTCTCTACATTTTGTTTCATAAGGTTTGACAGTTGTTCTTTTAATTGCATAATCTTGTCACACTCCTCCTACAATGGTTTAACTCCACCAGCTGTTTATCTTGATGAACCCACTCCAAATGTTCTCATATGGAAACATAATTTCATTCACATTTTCTTTCGATGAATTTATTTAAATTTTCAGAATTTGTGTTACATTTGCATGAAAATTCACATAATATGCCTTTAAAAGAGCCTAATGGCTCAGACTTGATCTTCGATATACTTGTCACCGGTATGCAGGAGAAACTAAACACCACCGTCACTGTGTGTTGTTAATCCTCAGAACAGTGCAGCCATGTTCACACTGACAAAGCTCAATCAAAACAGTCAAAAAATCCAGTCTCCTCATTTCAGTGAGATCTAGTGACATCCTGTGAGAGCAGTGCATGGAGCCTCTTGGGGTCGGTGACGGAGAGGCTAAAAGGTTGGACCTGACTTTTTCTGAATATAACATCATTTGACAATACACTGGCTAACCAAATATGTCCAAGCACGCTATGATCATTTTCCAGAGTTGTCTTACAGTATTATCTGATGATCCTAGCATATCCTAACCTTCTTTAGAAATGTTCTTTAATATTCATTTTCAGTATTGGAAGACTATGATGTACAGTTAAAGAGGTTCTACAGACATTAAGATGTCAGTTGACCTGTTTAAGGCAGCAGTTTGCCACAGCTGTATAAACTCTGCCCAAACCAAAGAAATATATTTTAGACCCACTATTGAAGGTCTTGTGTCTCAGCAACTTCATTATTAATAAGAATTTTTTAGGTGTTTTTGCCTTTTCCTGGTTTGTACGTAATCATCAATTGACTTTTTCATTTAAAACACCAGGTTTGATTACAAGCAGAGATTCTTCACACAAATACAAATACACATGAACAAAATCTAATGGGACCACACTGAATTTCTTTTGACTGTTTCTTAAAAAGCCATAATTTGCATTTTAATAAGAATTCTATACAAGTTGCGAAATAATATTTTTATATTGTAAATATTTTCTTATATTTCATTTAAAATGTGAATGTCAAGTGGCTGAAGATCATGTTTTATGCACATACAGTGCATTCAGAAAGTTTTCAGACCCCTTTTTTCACGTTACAGCTTTATGCTAAAAATCATTTAATTTAATTAATCCATAATCAATCTACACTCAATACCCCATAATGACAAAGCCAAAAGAGAATTTTTGAAATTTTTGAAAAAAAGACCAGCACTACATCCACAAATGACTGAGTGACTGACTGAGTGAGTGATGAAGTTACACCATTGTCCGAGTGTTGGACTTTTCTCTTGAGAGACCTCACAGTGGCTGTCCACCAGCAGTCCCCATTCAACCTGACAGAGCCTAAGAGGATCTGCATAGACGAATGACAGAAAATCCACAAATCCAGGTGTGCAAAGCTTGTCGCATCATTCCCCAGCCAAAACTGCTTCAACTAAGTACTGACAAAATAGTCTGAATACTTCTGTCAATGTGCTATTTCACTTTTTTCTTTTGTATTAACTTGCAAACATTTAAAAAATTCTGTTTTCACTTTTTCATTATGGGGTATTTAGTGTAGATTGATGAGGGAAAAAGTTAAATGAATTTAGGCTGCAACATAAAATGTGAAACATGGTCTTTCTGAATGCACTGAATGTATAACTTGTTCTTGCTTTGCAACTCTGCAGAACTCAGGTCTTAATATTAACACTCTTTATTTTAATTTCTCTTATTTTAAAAACCTCATACATGTTACACTTTTAACTAACTTTGTGAACTAAGCATTATACCCTGAGGTTGATTTTATCAATACATCGTGTAGCCGGTCTCCTCAGTCATGTTTTAATTATGTGATATTTAGTCCAAATTATACCTTGTGTTATTAACGTTTGTTTAAGTGTTGATTTTGTTGTTTATGTCATTTGGAGCTTGGAAGCTAGCATTAATTTAGCTGTGTGATGTAAAACTGTGATCTTTCATAAATGTATTTTGTTCTTCATAGCAGACATCATTTATGTCAGAAGGCAACAGCAGTCATTTAATGTGATCAACTAACCCTAAACCTTTATTTTTCTTTTAGTAATGTTTTCTGTGGACTAACTTTTCTCTGTAGTTATTTTTCCATGAATTGAAATTCCTATTTTTGTGGTAAATAAAGATTTTCTGAAGGTAGTATTTCAAGTGTTTATTTGCTTCTCGGGGGAGGGGAACCAACCAACCTTCTGTTTTCAATAACAGTACTGAGCCAGCAGCATCACAGGTTTAAGTAGCTGCAGTCTGGGCTTGGGCTTCTTCAGTCATCAAGTAAACAGCAGATGTTGAGTTAGCTGTAGACTAGTTATTGTGTTTCAGAACAAAGAAAAACAAAACTCTATAAGCTGTGAGGTCATGAAAATCACTGAACTTTATTTTTTATTGTAACTAGTTTACATTATGAGGAATAGGTGTAAAAACATTAGTTTGTGGAAACATTACAATATTGAGTAAAGTAACTGACCCTATTTAAGGTTTCTCACACTGAGTAGCAGACCGTTGTTTCTGAAAATGTCAAACATTTGCTTCAAGGAGTTTGAAAAGCTTTGGTTTGTAGAAAATACATCTGTTGTTTTAGCCCAAACTGGAGTTATGCAGTCAACTAAGCAGCAGCTGGCAGTGTTGTTTGACGTTCATGCTACACTTAGCTCTGTGCTTTGTTTCTCCCCCTGCTTGTGGAAGTGAAATCTGCGAGAGTTCTGGGAGATGGAAACTTGTTAATAGGATGCAGCACTGAAGTGCAGGTGGAGAAGGTAAAGAGAATGCCTAGTGTTGGTAAAGTCAAAGTGTCCATGGTTGTAAGAGTTGGGGAAAGAGGTTCAGTGGTCACAAGGAAGTGATTTCTGGGGTTCCCCTCAGTTTAATGGTGGAGACCCTTAGGGTGAGGAATAGTGCAGTGGAAAGTGTGAAGAGAATGACAAGGGGAGTAGATAAATAGAGACTGAAACCATCTAGATAGAGTTTGAGGAAAGTGAACTGCCAAAGGAGGTGTAATTTGGAATTCTATGGAATAATGTAAGAGAATATACACCAAAACCTGTGAGGTGTTTCAAATGCCAGGAGTTTTGGCATGTAGCCAAAGAGTGCAAAGGAAAGAAAAGATGTGCTAGGCTAGGTGTGGTGGGGAACATGAGCATAGGGAATGTGGAGAGGGAGTGAAGCCAAATTGTTGTAGAGTGGAGGTGATCACAGTGTAACTTATGGGGGGTTGTGAAATGTTGAAAAAAGAGGTGGAGATGCAACAGAGAAGGGTGAGGGAAGAAATCTCATATGCTGAGGCAGTTAAGTTTGCAGGACAGGATCAAGGAGGAAAGATGTAACATAGAACAAGTGACAGCAAGAGAAGAAGAAGAGAAGAAGCATGAATAGAGGAGTAATAAAATGCAACAGATCAAATCTAAAACTGGAAGGATTCAGATCATTGTAAAAGCTAGAACACTGTTTGGATATGGTAGGCTTCAAATGGGAAGAAGTAAATGATGAACTTAGGATGCAGTTAAGTCAAGAGACGTGTCAAGTGTCAAGAGTCTTTTCCTAAACTTAAACTAGTTTTTGTGGCCTAATCAAGTACTTTTAATGCCTAAATCTAACCAAGTAGTTTTTGTGCCTAAACCTAACCAAGCCATGACCATTATTATAGTAACCACGGCGACAGAAAGGAAAGAGAAGAGAAAAGTTTTGGCAAGAGATATGGGCATATACAAGAGTTTGGAGCATCAGTGGTGTGTCATGTAAGACCTGTCTGGATATTGGAAAATCCACATGTAGACATGGAACTACTTAAGATTAAACATAAGTATAAGAATAAGAAAACCGATTTAGCCAGTGAATATTATAGTTATAGGGACTGAAAGTATAAAGACAACATACATATTTCTACAGATGGATGAAAGGATCCAGAGACAGATGCAACAGGGTTTGCAGTTGCTGTGCCAAGCTATCAAATGGGATATAATAATAGAACGTCAGATTGCTTGAATGTTTATAGTGTGGAACTACTGTATATGCCATGTTGATGGCACTAGAATGAATTGAACAGGTTAGTTGTTGTAATATAGTCATTAGTAGTGATTTGGTGTCAGCCCTTGCAAGTATTTAAACAGGTACAGCTAGAAGTCATCAGGATTTGCTTTATGAAATACTGGTAGCTAATTCAAGAATAACTAGTCAAAGGGAAGATATCACATTCATGTCAGTTCCTGCACATTCAGGTATCTTACATGAGAGAGCAGAAAAACTGGAAAAGGAGGCAGTTAAAAAAGGTGTTGAGGTCAGTATTAAATGATCAAAATCAGAGGGAAGGGCATAGCGTGGACAGAGGTAAACCAATAGTGGCAACAGTATTGGGATAATGCAACAAAAGGGGAAAAGTAGAAATGATATCAATGAAGCACATCCTTAATCAGATCAAGGGTAAAAATATGGCAATGTAGCATATGGTTCGGATCAGAAACAATTCTTAAGGACTAGAAGTTCAGGCTAGAGCCCTAAGAGTTTGTATTGGCACAGTAGGAACCTCCCCTGTGTGTGTCCTCCAAGTAGAAACTGGAGAAATGCCTTTGTGCCTACGCAGGAAATAATTACTGGTTAACTACTGGATAAATCTCAAAGATCATGAGTATAACCATCCAACTAAAAAAATGTTGCAGACTGGGAAAAGCAGAGAGCAACAAAAACAAGACAGGCAAAACAACAGCAAGAAACCTAGGAGTGTCGGAGCTAGAATTTTGCCCAACTGTCATTTGGCCAGTAATCCCTGCTTGGATGCTGGAAACTCCACAGGAGGGTATGGAATTGCTGCAAATCAAGGCAAGAAATAAAAAGGCAGATTTAATGAGTACATTCCATTGCTAGACAGAGCACAGATATTCAGATTTTTTGCACATTTTTACTGATGGCTCAAAAGACTCAATCACACACAGGAAAGGCTCTGCAATTACAATCCCAGATTACAGAACTGAAATATTCAAACTAACTTCTGATTTCCTAGCTGTGTACACAGTTTAGATGTATGTCATTTTCATGGCCCTGGAATGGATTGTAAAGAACAAACCACATAAAGTCCTGGTTTGCAGCGAGGGCACCAAAGTCATATTCTTATGGATTCCAGCTCATAGGCATAAAAGGGAACGGAAAAGCAGACAAACTGGCTAAACAAGCTCTATGGAAGAGAAATAGATATCAGAATTAAGATATCTAAAACGGAGAGGAAAAGTAATATAAGGAAAAAATATTCACATAGAATGGCAACAGCACTGGGATCAGGAGACAAGGGGAATACATTAACATTCAGCAAAACAGAGGTGGCAGTGTAAGGTACAGGGGAGGAAGCAGGAGAGAGAAGAGGTCATCATGTCAAGATTAAGAATAGGACACAGCAACCTGCCAGAAACTATGGAACATGTCACAATCTACTGCAGTAAAGACAAATCAGAAAGGGAGGGTATGATGGAGGAAATGGAACGTTTGTGGATGAGAGGAAGGGAGCTGAAGAAGGGCTTCAAGTAAGCAGGGGAGAGGATGCAAAAGTAACTTCTTGCGGGAAACGGGACTACTGAAAAAGATTTAGCAGACTAGACAATTTAGGAGCTGAGTGATGTCGAAAGATGGCAGTAATGCAACTACTTGGATGCCAACTGCCGTTAAACACCATCGAAAAAGAATAGGAAGCTTAGCAGAGACAGTAGAGAAATGTAGTGGATCTTTGAGCGTACAGCACATGTTTCCTCCCGGAAGATAAATCTGTTGCACCGCTAGTAGTGAAGGTACATTTGTCTTTATTCGGCGTAGTTAGATAGTGAGTCGTATCACACACAATAACTACATATTAACCATCTTAATTATATTAACTATCAAGGAGATACGCCTCTTCACGTTAGTACCGTTAATTTCTTCCAGTAACGTCCGTCAGAAGAACGGTTTGCTAGCTAACCGTTGTAAAGGTAATGACTTCAGGTTGTCACTTAAGGGTATGCGAGGTTTGTTTTGAAATAACGAGATGTACATAATAATAATGTTATGAGAAAGGTCAGCAGATAACTCGCCTTGTTCATCCCACTGCAGTTACTTCTGTTTTGACGCGGGGTCATATCGTAGTCTATTCGGTATGCATCTGAATAATGCTTTGTCTTTACCGGTCACTTCGAAGAGCACAGTCTGTTAGGAATCATCATGCCTTCTCATACACAGTGTTCTTCATATAAGTACTTCACCAACCAGGTTTAGACTCACCGTAATATTAAATCAGAGGTAGTTGCGGTTCCTCGGTTATGAATGGAGATTTACAGCAGACTTGTGTGTTAATGTGAATCTGTTGTTTCCCAGTTCGTTGTCTGTTTTCGTGCGTTGAATTTCTGGCTGGGAGACATCATGGATGAAGAACCAGAGAGAGCCAAGCGCTGGGAAGGGGGCTATGAGAGGACATGGTAAGGCTGTTAAGAGAGCAGCAGTTTGAGAGATACCCAAAACCAGCCTGTCTGACACCAGCATGTTCAAAGTCACTGAATTCTTCTGTTTCCACATTCTGACGTTTGATGTGAACATTAGTTGAAGCTCCTGACCTGTATCAGTATGCTTTATTGCATCACACTGCCACTACATGATCAACTAATTGGATAATTATATCAATAAACATCAATAAGCAGGTGTACAGGTGTACCTAAAGGTGCTTGGTGACTGAACATGTATTCTCCTGCAGGGAGGTGCTGAAGGAGGATGAGTCTGGCTCACTCAAAGCTACAGTGGAAGAGATCCTGTTCCAATCCAAAAGGAAAAGGTGTGTGTGCATGTGACAAATACAAAGACACATGCGGATGTCTGAATGAATAATAACTTGTTGTTCTTAATAATCTAAAACCATAGTGCTGGAATTCTACTGGTTTGTGATGATGTACTGTAAATGATGCTCATACTTCTCTGTTGGAGTAATAACAAACACTACAACATATTCAGTGTGTTGAATGGATTAGGTAAATGCATGTTACATATCATGCTCTACACCCTAAGAGTAATGTGTGCGCTACTATACTGTTTGTGGAACATTTTCTCTGTGTGTATTTATATATATCAAATCTCTTCACTGGTCAGTCCCAAGAAGAAGACAGTTCTCACACTACACACAGTACACACAAATCTTCTGCTTTGTTTATCTCATAGGGTGATAGAGAGCCATGAACAAGTGCGGCTTGGAATGGTGAGTGACTTCAGTCTTATGCTTCTCTCTTTATCTGTCTGTCAGATCAACATGGTGCCAGCTGCTACACAGCATTAGTTTTACATATTTATAGGGACCAAAATACTCTATTACACTTACAGATAATGTGGTGTATAACATAATTTCTTTGATAGATTAGAGATTTTATCATCATTGTCATAATCATCATCCTCATCATCAACAGACAAAAAACTGAAAGCGTAGAACTCATTTTCATTTCTTGTTTTGCAATATAATATATGCAGCAGCACAGCAGCAGGTCAGTGTTACTGACTGTTCTTGTGAATACACACAGTGTTAGTATAAAATGGAAGTTCTTTGTTATTATGAAAATAGAATCTCATGTTTAGTGTGTCATTACTAAAAAAGTTGAAGATGTTAAATGATGTCCTGTTCTCTAGATGCGTCACCTCTTTGTGGTGATTGACTGTTCCAGAAGCATGGAAGACCAGGACTTGAAACCAAACCGCCTCACCTCGACGCTAAAGGTAAAATCGGTAGCAGACCCATCACACTGTACGAGAGCAGGCAGACATTATGACGATCTGTAAAGCACCATCTCCTTTCACCTTCACTTTGCAGCTGATGGAAGCTTTTGTTGATGAGTATTTTGACCAGAACCCCATCAGTCAGGTATGTTCATACAGCCATGAGTTCGATGCATGTTTTACACTCAACTGTTCTGAGACTTTACATTTAAATCCCTTCAGCTCTTGTTGAAACACAAGTTGACGTGACTTTATTATATTCTTGTATAATGACACAAGTAGTGAGGGTAGCACCATCATGAGTACAGAGTAATTGTAGAGTTCCTGACCCTGTCGCAGCACTGCCAATAACGTCATTTTTACATATCTAGTCAGGTGTGATTTGACCGTATTTTAAAGGTTCTGTAAACGAGAATGTAAACATTAATAAAGCAGCAAACAGCTATTCTCTATGTAAAGATATAAAGGAGTAATGGCGTCCTGAACAGAGAACCAAGTCACACCCCCTCTGTGTGTGTGTTTCTCTGGTCTTTGTTTTGGTAGCTGGGTTGACAGCGTGTGCATGTTAGTGCACATGAGTCAGTCCTGTTAATCCCTTGATCCTCCCAATGTTTATAAACACACCGGCTCCACCCACAGGTGAGATGTCACATTCAGGTGAGAGTGACATACAGAATTTCCTCCACTGAAAAAGAAACAACATTTTAGTCTAAAAGGCCTCAAAGAAAGAAAGAAAGAGATGAGACCAGATCACATGTGGACTGAACATGGGGCCTGTCTGTTCAAATCCCGTGGGCTGGTGGACCATCAAAACATCCTCACTGTGCTGACTGAGAACGTGAAGGGAGTGGAAGGGGAAAGGGTCTGTGGCTAAATGGAGGCCAGAGCAGTTGAGAAACAAGATGGCGCTTTCACAATTATTTGCTGTACCTGTGTCATGTGGGTTTCTCCTCCTCCTCCTCCTCGCCCCTTTAGGAGACCAGCAGCAGGTCTGAGTCCGTTCACTCCAGCAGGAGAAGTGAACCTGATCACACATTGTGATTCTTTTGCTCAAAGTCATGAAATAAATATTGGATACATTTTTCATAAGCCACAGATCTTCAGAACATTCTGACATTAAAATGTCATTTTCAGACGAATCAAGAGAAAAGAGTTGAGGTCTCTCAACACAGATCTCTTCTCTCTGTTGGTTCTGGTTCTGGTTTCACTGCTGCGGTGCTGCAGATGTCGATTTCCAACCACAGACATTTAGAGGGATCTAACAATGAATTGAAAGTTTAATCTGAAATAAAACATGTTTCTTTGCTTAATAATGCCATTTTCACTACTATTATTGTTATTGTCCTTTAACTGTTTTTGGAGGGAAAACAGAGAGTATTAGACTGATACGATCTTGTTCTGGGTTGATCAGATAAAAGATAACAGAGTAAAACAAGCAGCAAAATCAGGATTAAATTCATACTGTATCTAGTGTTGTATCGTTGTTATGTTTTGACATGAACAAGCAATCACGACCACGCCCCCTTAGGAGACAGGAAGTGTAGACCATGTCTTACCATTGACTCTGCCTGTAATGTGTCATCTTCTGTTATAGAGGATCTTTGGCTGGAAGTTACGGCTGATGAAGCATTTGTTTTGGTCTGAGGTGGTGGTGGTCTAGTGCGACATCTAGAGGCAGTGATGATCATTTACAGAACCTTTTAATTAGATTTCTTAACTAAATCAATAATCACTCTTTCAGAGATTCATATGTTATTGATGTAAAAAGAAAGTCTCACGACCTTCGCTAACAACAAGACAGAGAGTAGCTGGTTGTCCACTTGTTAGCTCTCCAACAAGCATAAACATTACATCAGCTAAGTGGGTGAAGTGTTCAGACAGCAAAGAAATGGATCATTACTGTTTCTACCTCAACACACTGTCAGTGGCTGTAATGTGACCTAACAACATGTGCTGTGTCTTTAGGTGGGCATCATCACCACAAAGAATAAAAGGGCTGAGAAGCTGACTGACCTGACAGGTGAGTGTCACATGACCTGCTGATGTTAGACTCCACCCCTCAGTGTAACGAGCTCCCTTTACAGAGTGGTGAAAATGTTTTTGCTTTATCTTTTTTTAACGACATGTTAAGACATGTTATCGATGTTAGGGTTCTCATTTAAAACAGTAGTCAGTGCAACAGAGGAAAATGTCACATTAATACTAATGAGGCCATAATGAACCATGTGTCTCCATCTTTTTAATCAGCAGTGGGCGTCACTCTGTGCAGAGAATGTCACACTGGTGGTTGGTGTTAAATTGTTAGTCTGTGAAGATACCAGAGCGCTATTGCATGAAGGCAGATAAAGGAAAACCATGGCCTATTTTGTTAAGTCTCACTAATATAAGTCAGAGTTCCGTTCCATTACTGTGGCTTATAGGATTCCCTACTCAGTAACCATGGTAACTTATACTGCTGAACTAGCCTGCTCCGTAGCAGGCTAACTTGTCAAGCTTAACATAGCTGTGTTTCAATGAATTTCTAACGACCGGAAACAGAATCTCAAAAAACAGTTCCATCAAGTGTCTTTTTGCGCTCGCATCACCTTTTTCATGTCTGTGTTCAGACACTAGGGTCAAAGGATACTTTGATACTTTAATTAATGGAACGGCTTGAGCCTGAAGTGAAAGTCGATGTTAATTCTAACCGGGCTTTTTCAAGTAAGCACAGATTTCCTTAGCGACGTTGATGGAATACCTCCCTGGTGCGGCTTTAATATTTTGTGATGTGTTGTCTTTTTTCACCACAGGAAATCCAAAGAAACACATTACTGCTCTGAAGAAAGCAGTAGACACCGTGTGTGTAGGAGAGCCATCCCTGTACAACTCTCTCAACCTGGCCATACAGTCCCTCAAGTAGGTTCTGCAGTGTTCATGTTGTAGACTGGCTTCTGTCATATTACTGAGTGTCACTCACATCTTGCTTGTTTTTGTATGAAGGCACATGCCTGGACATACGAGTCGGGAGATCCTGATAATCCTCAGTAGCCTCACCACATGTGACCCAGCCAACATCTATGAGCTGATCAAGGTGAAATCACAGTCATCAGTGTCCACGTAATAGCTGATAAGGTTTCTTGTCTATGTAGCTTGTAACTAAAAGTAACTCTTTCTCTTGCTGCATGTCTGGTCTCCTTCTTTGTTGTGTATAACATGTTCCTCCTCTGTCAGACCCTCACATCTCTGAAGGTGCGCGTGTCAGTCATTGGCCTGTCAGCAGAGGTCCGGGTGTGTACGGTGTTGACCAGGGAGACGGGCGGCTTGTACCACGTTATCCTGGACGAGAGTCACTTCAAAGAGCTTCTGATGATGCACGTCAAACCTCCTCCAGCCAGCTCCTCGTCTGAATGCTCTTTAATACGCATGGGTCAGTAGACAGATGCTTCCCTATCTTTGGTAAAGAATGTTTCTAACCCAACTGGAAGTGTTAAAAACAGCAACTCTAACAGCACATCCACTGTCCTGCTGCTCCACATACTCACCAGAGCTGCTAAATGTAGATTAAAGCACTGCTGAAAATAGTCCCCAACTAATTCACTGTTTCCTCCTGTTTGAGTAATGTTTGTTTAAATCTACAGTGGAATTACTGAGCCTTTTCTAATGCAGGATGGACTTGCTGCCCAGATAGGTTACAGAGGTCAGACAGTGTTGTGAGACAGCATAACACACTGTTGGTTTGGTCTTTTCATGAGGTTTACTGACAGTGAGAGAAATATACTTGAAGTCTAGAGACACTGTTCCTTTTTTTCCAACATTAAAAAATATGTGAACGTTCACACTCATAATGGCCATTCTTGCTCTTCATTAAAATATTAAGATTGTTTATGAGTTAAAAGCATCAACTGAATATTTGTGTCAGACCCACTTAATTTGAATCCTGTGCTTCCTCAGGTTTTCCTCAACACACTGTTGCTGCTCTGACTGACCAAGATGCCAAGCCTTCATTCAGCATGTCGTGAGTAGAAAACACTGTGATGTAAACCCTGTGTCCAGGGCTGTGAGCAGCCAGTGTGTTACTAGAGTGAACTGCCTGTGTAATGTGCTGCTTCTGGTGTGTGTCTCCTAGTCATCTGGACAGCAGCAGTGGTCCAGGTCTGTCTCTGGGAGGATACTTCTGTCCGCAGTGCCACGCCAAGTACACAGAACTTCCTGTGGAGTGCAAAGTCTGCGGTATGTCTGATGTGTGCGTGTGTCACTGTAAGGTTCAATCAAACTTCAGTGTTTTTTTTCCTCTTGCATCATAAAAGTATTGCAGTTCTTGACTGGTGCGTGTGTGTATTGTCTCCAAGGTTTGACTCTGGTGTCGGCCCCCCATCTTGCCAGATCCTTCCACCACCTCTTCCCCCTCCCTGCTTTTACAGAGAGTCCTGTGGAGGAGCTCCAAGGAGACAGGTGACTGAGACACACTCACACACACACACACTCTCACACACAGATTCTGAGCTGCTATGTATCTGAAGCTGTTGTGATCTGGTTTCAGGTGCTGCCAGGCCTGTCAAGGGGAACTAAAGGATAAAAGTGTAAGTACAGTGAGTGTATGTCTGAATCTGTGGGGGGCCTATCAGATGTAGAACATACTTTTTTCCATTAAAGAGAAACTCTCCCAATTTTACACAAGTTGAATTCCCTCATCACAGAATGAACTGTTCACAGTTAAAATATCTTCTGAAACTGAAGGACCTTTGTCACGTCCGAGAACATGGTGATGCACTGGTGGACCAAGGTACTTGGTCCACCAGATAGCTTAGATCATTTGATGATATTATTTGATGAAACATATACACAGTATATCTACATATTTGTTTTTAGGAGGGAGATAATCACACAAAAATAGGACTACGATTTAGTGTGATGATCTTTCAGTCTTTTTCTTTCTGGCACATTATAAAGTGTCAGGGATGACAGGAATGAGGGAAGAGAGAAGTGGGGAATGACATGCAGGTCCCTGGGCAGATGTGAACCGTGGATATCGTGGTTCATGGTATATGCCATAACGCCTTGGTTACCAGGATGTCCTGATCTTTATCAAATTTATTGTTACAATTCAATTAACTGTAGGATCCATTGTCTTTGTAGCTTGACCCATACATTGGTCTGTCCTATGAGCCCTCAATATATATATATGGGACTGCAGTAATAGATTGTTGATTGATTTGATTTAAAAAGAAGAAATATTTTAATTTTAAGTGTTAAACTTTGTATTTTTATTCATTTATTCATTGCAACTTCTAAACCATCTTCTCTCTTCCTCTGTGTCTCTGTTTTTGTAGATATTCACCTGTACATCATGCCACAGTGTGTTCTGTGTGGAGTGTGATCTCTTCATTCATGATTCGCTCCACTGCTGCCCCTGCTGTATTCACAGTCAGACTGCACCCTGAAGGTGAGAGGCCAACCGTCAGACAGAGACTCAAACAAACTCAGATGGGTGTCAAATGAAAAGAAAGGCCAGAAAAAAATGAGTGGAGAAGCAGGACGTCAATGCCCCCGTTGACAGGACACGAGGGATCACTGATGGTTTGATAGCATGAAAATGATGTGAATCATATGCTGTGACCTTCAGACACCAGATCTCAGTCCAGTATATCACCTATGGGAGATTTTGGGCTGATGTGTCAGACTGCAGTCATATTTCAAAGATGTTAAAGATCGGCACAGAATATTGGATGATCGTGAAGGTGGAGGCAGCTGCGCTCTTCCTAAAGATGGTGCTGAGTTGGTTCAAAGCTCCTGTCTGCTCTGACAACTTCATCTGAGATGCTTTATGTCAGAAATATTTTTGTGCATTGTTTATAGATTTGTACTACAGTTCTGAATGTGACATGCTAGTTACAATAAAACTGATTTTTCTACTTGTTGAAATTTGCTGTCTGGTCTTGCACTTGCTATGCTAAATTTAGGGTAAGACAGAGGGCTGTTGCTACTTTTGAGGACACTGAGATTCTGTGGTATTTTTCTGGGATTATACAGCAGGTATTTTAACAGTAAAATTCACACTGGATATTTGTAGACCAAATAAATAAAAGATTCAGTACTTCCCAACCAGAGTATTATTCCTGGCAATGTGGAAAAGGCTTTGAGTTTGCATTTAGATTATCAAATATGAAACAGTTAACCCAAGAAAACATGAAAGGTCAGAATATATAAAATGTAATAAGGATGCATTGATACATTTGTATGACTGAGGGCCACATTAAGGAAAAGAAAAATCTGAAATTGCCAGAATAAAGTCATAATATTACCAGGAAAAAAGTTGTAATAGAGAATTAAAAATGTAAAAGTTTGAGAGCAAAAAACATTTTTTTAGGAATATTACAATCAACCAATCAAACGGGTGAAAGGACAGTCAGTGGCAGCCTGAGCTGCTTCTGGCAGCTGCTGTTTGTCTGTCTGTCTAACAATAGAATAGACTCCGTTTCTTCACAATCTTTTCAATGTCCTGGTGCTGATGATGATGATGATGATGATGATGATGATGATGATGATGATGATGATGATGATGATGATGATGATGAGCCAAAAGACAAAGTATCTCCTTGTTCGTGAAACCTCTGCTGCAGTATAACTTCACAGGATGCTCCACGTTCCTCATTTTAAAGCCTCTGATATTTCCCCTCTAAAACAACACGGAACCTAAAGTTACAACTTTATTCTCATAATATGACGTTTTTCTTGTAAAATTATGACTTTATTCACATAATATTCTCATAATTACGACTTTATTCTCGTAATGTTTTTTTTCCCTTCAACGTGGCCCTAATAATCCGTCGTAGTACTTTTATACCATGACCTCAGCATGTTTTAAATCCTGACTGAATGCAGGTAACGGTTGTGTGATATTTAGAGATAACAGCGAGGACTGGTGGAAGAAAGTTGATATTATTTAAGTCCATAAGATGGCAGTGATGTAACGACACGACTGTGTCCGCTGCCGCAAAGCCGGAAGAGGAAATCTAACAAATCACTCTCGATGCTTTTGTAATATTTACTGGCGGGAAGCTTTGGTGGTTACACACAGCAAACGACACGGAGCAGAGTGGTCCAGTGTTCAGTCCACTCACAATGTCCCGCATTCTTAACGGTATCGTGGCGGTGTGTCCGGACCTGGGCATTGGATACAATGGAAACCTGCCGTGGCATCCTGTTCGACTCAGGCAAGTCACGTTGGTTTGTTGATGTGGAAACATTAAAGCTTGAGTGAAAGCTGCAGGAAGCTTCTGAACCACAGGTCAGCATTTTTATTTACACAGCACTTGTGACGTAACTGTTCTTCTTTTATAGTAACGAATTCAAACATTTCCGAAAGATGACAGCGACTTCATCTGCGACAGGTAACTTACATTCACTTTGTTACGGCGTTAATTAAAAACAAACTGTCAGAGCTTCCAGCTTCACAAGTTTTACTAATCACAGTTAAACATTTACGGCAACATTACAGCCAAAGTTATTAGGAACGTTCTCTTGAGCTTATGGTGGCCTGTAACTGGCTTGGCTGTCGGTTTATTCTATGGAAGCTCCGTCTTGACACTGAGAACTTTGAACTGTGGGGTTCCACATGCACACTGTCACAATTGAACTTCAGTGGTGACAGAGGAGCTCTCAGAGTAACAAAGGTTGGAGACCGCTGATCTATAGCTTCTATATTCTAGTGCTTTCTTCTCTTTCATCTCAGTCTCCTATGATTTTGACAATCAGATTGTGTCGATAACTCGTCCCTGATGGTCTGCATCAAATACTAAATGTGTGCATACACCAGTCATGGTGTGTTTTATTTACAAGTCATGGTGGACCTGTTGCTGCACCTGTACCTGCCACTGTCATTCAACATGTTATTGTTTACTGTGCCTGTCTTCTTCTTCTCTCTGGATTTGATGTCAGACTAGAATGCTTTGTAGTTTTATTAGACTGCCCTCATCAGTCCTGGAAGAATCACATCTCCTTTACATACGACATCTTCGGTACCTTCCTACCTACAGTCCTGTAAAAAAACAAGTTCAGTCACATTTTCAGAAATTTGGCATCAACTCGGTACTGGCACCTGCAGCCCTTATACATTGTTTTATTAGTAACTGAAACACTGATTGTTCAGTATGGTATATTATACTACGGGTGTCGTGTTCTGGACTCTTTGAGTAACTTTCTTCATATGGGTTAATATGTAATAGGTTATGTCAGCGTTCAGTTTCTTTGTGGTATGTTACATCACGAATGATGTCACAACAACTTTCTTTCAGAGGTGAAAAATATAAAGTGATAAAACAGCAGTACAAATATTCTTTATTGCTTAGATCAGGTTGCTCAGCAATACATTTATCACTAACAGTTATTACTAAAATGTATATTGAATCACATTACATTTACTAATTAACCCACATTCTTAAGATATGTTGTCTGTTGCTGCCAATAGAGTGAAAAGAGGTAGAATCATGTTTTGAGTGGAGTATCCCTTTAGATTTTGTAATACACTGATGAAGCCCATGCTGTTAACACAGCATTACCTCCATCTTATAATCTATACTCCTGACCCAACCCCCTGTCTGTGTTTTATCTGTGTCAAGCAAGAAGATAATGGCTACAGTATATCAGCAGTGTGACTCACACATAAGACAGTATGTTATGAAAAAGTTAGTATTGAAGTTGTATATCTGAAGAAGAAGAGGAGCATAACGTTGCTGTCCTGCAGGAAAGCAGAATGTGGTGATCATGGGCAGGAAGACGTGGTTTTCCATCCCAGAGAAGAACAGACCTTTGAACAACAGGATCAACATCGTCCTCAGCAGAGAGTGCAAGTATGTGTCACACACTTGACGCTGACACACAACAGTGCACAAATGAAATGTTATACTGTAGGTGTTTTCTATTTGAGGGAGCTGTTGCTCATTTTGTTCAGATTCTGTTGTTAACTTCTATTGCAGCAACAAATGAATGTTCACTCTATTTCCCTGTTAAACTAATAAAAATAAATAAATAAATGAACGCTACACTTAATAACGGCAGTGTCGTTGCCAGGAAGTGTTTGGGGTGGACTAATACCAGGGTTCACCACCACAGTTCTGTCTGGTTAGTTTTAGGCAACAGAAGCACTTTGGTTAAGGTTGGGGAAAGATGATGGTTTTGGCTAAATGTGAATAAACACATTATATATGAAGTTTCTGTCAACTTTTCCTGAACTGTATATTCTCTTACCTTTTGATAAGAAATGTCAAAAAATAAAAACCTGGGCCCTGGTGAAGTTTTAGTTCAAAGAGAACAGAGCATTGTAGAGTGCTGTACTTTCCCCCAAATGGGAGGCCGTCACCACATCTTCTTTTCATGATTATTATAATTAATTAAGCAATATTACACGAGAGGGAGTGATGTTGACTAAGACTAAATTCTTTTTACCGTTATTGTGTTGGGCTGGAGACAGAAATCTTAGAGACAACTGGGCAAAGAAATGAAAAAATCTGCATGGATTGATACCATTGGAGGTTAGGAAGAAAATTATGTTACACTGCTCAGGAACCTCTTATGTAGGGCCTACAGGGGCTAAAGTGAATGTTACTACACATTAACTATTGCTCATATTTAACAATCACCTTACATAACTTATATTCCCCCAGAGCGCCCCCTGCAGGAGCACACCACTTAGCAGCAGACTTCAGCTCAGCTCTGAGGCTGGTGGAGTCGGAGCTGGCAGACCAGGCTGACCAGGTGTGGATTATAGGAGGCAGCTCTCTCTACAAGGTACTGCGTGGAGCACCCGGAGTGGCCGCTGCTCACACGTTATGTCTGTTTTACAATCTTTAAAAATGTTCTGACAGCGCTGGAAAATTTTGCTTTACTTTTACAGTTGCTTTATTTTTACATTATTTAATTTTCAATTTTGTCTTTGATTTCGTGGAGAACGGCTGCAGAAATAGAACCAATGAAGACAAATAACAATAAAAATAATATATAAATGATCACCATTATATATCTAAATTATATTATGTCATTATGTCATACTGGCTGCAGCTGTTAGTGATGGTCATGTTGAATCATACACACACTTTTGCACATATACACCCTGAGTCTATCTCTACTTACTCTTGTGATTGCTTTGGGCTACCAGGAGCTGATGGAGCGCCCGGGGACCAAGAGACTGTTTGTCACGCGAATCCTGAAGCAGTTTGACTGTGACACGTTCCTCCCTCAAATCAGTCCAGGAAAATATCATCTACTGCCAGAGTAAGATCAGTAGACATGCTCAGCACATTATTGTGGGTCAGTTTAGGTTTATTACAACTTTGGTAGTTTTGACTGTAATGTCTTTTGCTGAGGTCTTGGAACACAGTCATATCTCCACTCATAAACCCAAGCAGTTGTAATAACCTGGAACTGAACTTTTAGAACAACACAACACATGAACACCTGTTGCCCCATCCCGACATACAGTCAGACACATGCCCGGCCTTAAGAGAGGAGGTGGGAGATCGTCTGTACAATATAGCAGCCAATGTGACTGTCGGAAAATGAAAACACAAGTTCTAGGTAATATACTAAATACATTATTTCAGTTTTTATTAAATATTTGAATGCAATTCACAACTTGATATTGGCAGTGAGTGGGGAAATTACTTTGTGCAAAGCGAAGTGGTGCAAAAGCATGTGATTTTCCCCAGGTTGGTCAGCTCTTTGTCATAAACGTTACAGTACTTTCATCAGTGGGCCAGTGGCTCAGTCACCATAGTGTTAGCTCATTCAGCGATAGTGACTTAATAGATATTTATTTAGGTGAAAATCTTCCGGATCGCCACTTTGAACCTGTAACATTGATGTGTGTACCAGCTGAAATGTGTAGTACGGCTCGTTTCTCCCACAGGTTTCCGGGAGTGCCACAGGAGCTGCAGGAGGAGAATGGTATCCAGTACAGATTTGAAGTCTATGAAAGCACAGATCAATGTGGAGGACAACAAGGAGAAAAAAAAACATCCTTGTGATTTTGTAAATGGACACTGCAACATTGTAAATGCTGGATTTTTTTTTTTCATTTTTACAGTTGGGTGGTGTCATACCAATAAACACAGATATCAATGATTTCCTGCTATATAGTTATTTACAGGTGGAGGAATATAAAAACACCTATTTATAGGAAAAGGGTTTATCCTTGACATAATCATATTTTATCAGGCATCCAGTTATGAGGGACGGATAGTTATGGAGTCTGATAATGGTGACCATTTCTTTCATTATCAATCAATCAAACTTTATTTGTATAGCACTTTTCATACAGGTTAGTGCAGCTCAAGGTGCCTCAGAGAGGACAGATAAAGCTGTCAAGGAGGAACATAAAAATAGATTTTAGCTATAATAACATTTTTAACAGAAGAAAACATCCATATAAGAATGTAAATGAATCAGATATTCTTTTTCTCAGTACACCTGCCACTTATTTATAAACTCAAAGTGTCAAGTGACGCACATACAGTGACTTCAGAAAGTATTCAGACCCCTTCACTTTTTGCACGTTACTGTGTTTTACATTTATTTTTAAATAAGTAAAATCAATCTACACACAATAACCCACAACAGCAGTGTAGTGAACACCACAATTTAGAATTTGCTCTCATTGAGTTCTCAGGGAGGACATCAATGAATCATGTCATTGATTAATGTGATCAATCTCATATCAGAAGCTGCGACTTCTTCTTCAATGGATCTCCAGTCTCTCCTTCTAAAGAACACAACAGGACGACTGAGTGTAAATAAAGAGGTTTATTAACCGCAGGACAGTCGCAGGATGTCGCGATCACAATAATTAACGAAAATTCAACCCACCCCCCGTGAATCACCAATCACCGCATCGCATCTTTTTCGCAAATTTGATCAAAAATGCAAAGTTGCAGGCGAGTTGGACCAATCATACCGGTCCCTCTGCAAAACCTGGATGTACGTCACCAAACGCACTTCTTTGTTTCTAGTTTTGAAGCTTGTGATGCTGTAGACGTGTCACGTGAACGTCTCACATTTACCAACAAAATTACTGTTAAAGACCGTGTGAAGAAATTCCCCGGTGTTTTGCAGGAAAGTGAGATACATTATTTTATACTGCGTGCAACATTGTGGTGGGACCACAGGTGTAGAGCTGCCGGAGCCACCGGAACGACGCTCCGCTACTGTTTTTTATCCAGATGAAATAAAATATACAGTTCACATAGCCCGGTTGGTATTTCTATACATTTTAGTCGGTTGAAAATTCGATCTTCGATCTCTGGCTGGATAACTTTAGAGGAGGCTGTAAAAAAAAAGTGTGGGTTTCATATTACATCCTTCAAACCTGGAATTAATTATAATACAAGTGGTTAACTGATCAAACAACAATATAAACCCTAAAGCTAAAGTCTATACATGTGGATTACACAGCAGTTCTTTGACTGGCCTATGGTAGTAATAATAAAGACACTGTGGGTGTGTGAAGGATGCTGACAGTATGATCACATGGAAGATATTGTCTTGAAACCTATAATGTATTTTTGCCATTCTAGAGGATAGACTGAGAATTGACTTATTACATAGAAGCATTGTATATTTTACAGAATAATATTTAATCATATATTCTTCCTCAGCTCTGTGTCTGTGAGTCTGTTCTGCTGGCCACTGCTCAGGATTGGGATGTGGGTTGTAGTTTATGACAATTGGCCAAGAGGGACAGAGGAAGGGAGGTTGGTGTGTTTGTATGTGTGTGTGTGTGTGTGTGTGTGTGTGTGTGTGTGTGTGTGTGTGTGTGTGTGTGTGTGTGTGTGTGCGCGCGTGTGTGTATTCATGTATTCAAGAGAGTCCAGGAATCACATCTAAGTGTTAATCAGTCCTTTTCCAGTTACTATTCTGATATAAGAAACAATCAAATATCAATAGACAGAGTCTTATTGTTACAACTGGAGATTTTGCCTATGCTCTCCAGTTTGCCTGGTGTCCATTGGTTGATCCTCTGGAGCTGACCCTCTGACCCATGATCTGGTTGTGCATCTCTGTGACATGCTAAAAGCATGGTCTGTTTGTAGGGGAGAGCAGTGTGGTGATTTATGAGGTATATGCATCATCGATAGGCTAAATCTTAATACATTTTAATGACCACTAAATGATTTGCCAAGGTTATCAATCATTTTAAGGAAGGTAGATTTATATCTGCTACCTGTTAGAGTGCCTGGGTTTGATTCCCAACTGAAGCACATATTTAGCAAGTGAAGCAGAACAAAAAGTGGCTTCATCACTCTTGTTTCATGCAGGCATCATTCACCCTTTTAAAGTTATTTTTGGACAGTTTTGGCTTTTCCTAATGTGATAATGACAGTGAGCAAGAGACAGGAAAGCTGGGAGAGAGAGAGGCAATGTCATGCAGAAAATGGCACAAGCTGGATTTGAAGCTGTGCTGCTACCGTAAAGACTGAACTTAAATGGTATGCTGCCCATCAGGTTAACCATCAGTGGTTTCTTTAGCCGTCAGTGGCAGTTATTACTTCCCCCAACAAGTTTATGGGTGGATGATTGTAGTGCAGGTGTTTATTGTCTTTTTATGAGTGCTGTAGGACTGGTGGCGTGTGCGGCCAGATGACTTCAGAACACGTCTCACTATGGAAATTGTTACTACCATGGCAGTATAGTGGACAGCAGTGCCCCTGTGGTCACTGTTAAACAGGTTAGACCGCATGGAAAGTTACAAGCATCGAGGCCATAGATTTGGATATTAAGTGTAGTGACAGTGACAAATGTGTCAAGCATTTACATTCAAAACCTTACACAACATGTAATTACTCTCAATTAGACTGCAGTTTGCTACATTTTGCTACATCTACATAAAAAGCCAATCGCACAGAGGAATGACTCTCCTCACAGAGGTGGAAAGTTATTATCTCTCCTGGATACAATGAATGCTGGACGCCTTGACATAGCTGAAGAAGATTCTTTCCCAGGTATTTCAAGAGAGGACAAATTGGCAGAGATGAGACCTTGTGGCCAACTGGTTTGTTTTGAATTGCATTACTGCAATAACTTTAAAAAAAAAAAAATTCAGCCTACTAAGGCATACTGCAGCTTTTCTGACTCATTTCTATAACATATGATTTTAAGTAGCACAATCCAGGCAGTTAAGATGTGCAGTTCTTGTCATTGTAATGGAATCTTGTTTTTTCCTAAATGAATAGATAAAAATATAAATGAAAAATAAAAGCAAATTGACTTTTATTTAACTTTGACATTATTATTTTTATGTTTCTTTTGAGTGACAAAGTTTTCTTTTTGAGAGATAGATGTCAGTGTTCTGGTACAAGAGTGAGATGTGTTTGGTACCAAAAGAAACTATTGTGTTCCCCTGTTAAATCTCCTCCTCACGGTCCGGAGTTTTTTGGACATTGAATATCAGACAGAGGTAGGCAAGTGTTCCAATATGCACTGGTGTATTTTTATGTGATGGCCCATGTTTATTAATGGTGTGCTATAATTTAAGCAGCTGCAGGGCACCGGCTGCCTCTGGTCCTACCAACCTGTAGAAAGAGGCTGCTGCTATCACCTTCTGTAGTTTCATCACGCTGATAATTAGTCTGGGTTGTAGCTTAAATTAGAGGAAATGGTTAGTATTATCACACAATGAATATAACAGGTTTTGCTCACTAGTATCATAAACATTGCAGCCATGGTTGCTGTAACCCACTTGCCCACTGCAACGGGCAAGAAGTGGAAAAGGTGATGATGCGATCTTCTCCGTTCCATGTGGTTGAAAACATGTACAAATCTGTTAGTTCGAGTCATACTGAGGCCGTAACTGCAGAGCTGAGTGTTCTCTATGGATGCACAGTAAACAGGAAATCAAAAACTGTAAAAGATGAGTCAGTATGGGGGAAAGAGTATAGTGCACCCAAATAGTAAAATCTGCTTCATCATACTGACCACTGATACCTACACAGACGGTTCCGTTTTTACACATTGGAAATCCATCAGGTTGGATATGTCCTTTAAAAAGCTTTTGCAACATTACCAGATTTGAAAGTTCTCTAAGGTAGAAAATTAAACAAACATTCAGGTGACTTCTTTTCTCCACCACTGACTTCGGAATATGGTGATACGTCGGAATGAATATCCTTGTTGTGCAATCTTACCAAAATAAATCTGTCTGCAGCCTTGAACCTTCTGGTGACGTCAGTGGCACTATTGTCACTCCACACATCAACCGTCTGAATACCTGAAGGTGAAAAGAAATGAGTCTTACCTGCGCAAGTGCCTCACCAAAGACCACTGTCTGCGCTGTGGCTGCTCACAATGGGATGTGCTGTCATTGGTTGTGTGCTTCCTGCTTCTCAGCTGCCATAGGCCAGCCTTCCGCTGTCATCTGACATATATCAGTCTTCACACTCTCCTTTCATCAGTCATTCTCCTGCATGGATGTCTGCTCCCACCACTGGTTTCTCCTCAGCCCGTCGACTGGAGGGGGCCTGCAGTCTGAACAGTTCTCATGGTAAAGAATGAAACACATTCAGGTAAGTTTGCACATACCAACAATAACTTATATGTAATGTACAGATGGTGTTACTGTTCATGTCTTCACAACAGTTGTGCTTTAAAACATATTCAGATCCATTTTGTCGCTGCATTTTGCGTGCCATAAATCTTTCTTCTTCTTTGTAAGGTTAGAATTGTTATTTAATGACAATAGAAATAATATTTAAAGAAAGCTGACACCTCAGATGGCACAATTCATGTAAAACTATTGTATTTGTTAAAGTATATCTCCTGCTTCCTGCTACATTTACTGTATTCATGCTGTGAAACAGGAGTTATCAGTGTGGATGTTTCATTCTGTGTAAGACACAACAACATCATATATAAATGATGCAGAGACATTTATGAAATCAGCTGCTTCACCTAAAAGCCATATGTGAGCATAACTTGGAATTTATTAATGTAGTAGGAGACAGGCAGCAGATTATTTCAGTTGTGTTCAAAGAAACATTTTATTCCTATCAGGTCATATTTTGAACTATGCTTCTGTGATGCACTGACAGCATGTCCCAGCTGCCTGCGACTACATGGGTTTCTTATGTTTTGCTTTGCACTTGAT